TCCTGAATGTTGACAGTCGTGTAAATAATTATCTGTCCGTAGGTGGAAAGATCTCCTATTCAAATGAAGAAAACCTCGCCGCCAATACATCCGGATCGTTGAGTGGAGAAGCATTCAATACGGGTGGCTTTGGTCGTATTGTGATGGTGAACGCACCGAATGTTAGCCCTTACAAGAATGATGGTAGTTATAACATTACTTCCAGCAACGTCGTGGGCCCAATGAATAACTCATTGGCGCAAGTTGGTTTCTATAACCCCGTTCCGATTCTTGATCTGAATCGTTCAAACAGTGAAACAAACCACATCCAGTCGAATGTATTTATACAAATCAAACCATTAAACTGGATTACATTCAGAACTGTCTATGGTATAGATAACCTTTACGTTGATAATGAAATATACCAGACACCGTTACATGGAGATGGCTTTACACCGATAGGTTCAGCCAGCAGCACACAAGGTAAATACAAACGATACACATGGTCAAATACATTGCAGTTTGATTACAGCTTCAACAACGTACACAATGTTAGTATCCTGGCAGGGCAGGAACAGGACAGAAGAACCTCAATCGGTTTTGGTATCAACCGCACACAGGTTTTAGATCCGGTGTACACTGTAATTCAGGCTGGCTGGGGAATAAATAACTCGAGTGGATCTGCATATGGCGAGAACTACCTGACATCAGAATTTGGTCGTGTCAACTATGATTACAAGAAAAAATACTTGTTGAGCGCTAACCTGCGCCAGGATAAATATTCTGCATTGTTAGGAAAGAGGGAAGTATTCTGGGGTGCATCAGTAGGTTGGGAAATAACCAAAGAAAACTTCTGGTCATCAGCGAACCTCGACCGCATCTTCAGCAGCTTTAAAGTACGCGGTAGCTATGGTAAAGTAGGTAATACAGGGGGCATTAATGACTATGCTACATACTCAACTTATGGATCAGGATTATATGGTGGCCAGGGTACACTGATCTTCAACCAGGCAGGTAACCCGAATTTGCAATGGGAAACGAGCAAAAAACTGGACTTAGGTCTGGGATTCGGATTATTTAAAGAAAGATTGACATTCGACTTTGCTTACTATAAGAATGACATCAGTGATTTGATCCTGAATGTACCGCAGTCGCCATCAGCAGGTCTTCCCTCTACTGTTCCGCAGAACGTAGGTACGATGTACAACAAGGGTGTTGAGCTTGCTATCACAGGTATTCCTATCAGGACCAAAGATTTTAGCTGGACTTCAACGCTCAACTTCTCTAATAACAAAAATGAAGTAACCTCATTAGCTCCGGGCCTGGTCGAAGTGCTGGGAAGTACGTCTAGTCTCGAAACAGTAAGCCGCACCGCGGTAGGTTATCCTGTTGGATACCTCTGGGTAGTGAGGTCTGGTGGTGTTGATCCTGCCAGTGGTCGTAGAATTTTATACAATAAAGCCGGTACTCCTATTCTTTACCAGTTTTTTGCACCTGCTGGTCAGTTCAACTATACCAATCCTGACGGCACACGTTATAACAAACCTGATGGATCAGCCAATACGGTTAACCAGGCTGCTGATGGTGTAATGTATGCTAACCCGATTCCTAAACAAATCGGCGGTTGGGATAACACCTTCCGGTGGAAAGATTTTGAGGTGAATGTATTACTGACTTACCAGTTTGGCTTCTCTGTATACTACGGAAGTAATGCGGGTCTGCATGATCAACGTTTCTGG